CTTATGGAAACCGAATTTACTATACACTATTCGATGTGCCTTGAAAAGCTCTACAACATGGTATATTTGATTTCTCATTTTTTGAATCGGCCACATTATCCAAAAAGGTCCTTTAAACGTCGTGGTCAGAACTTTTGGTATACACTAAGTACATTTAATCGCTAAAAACTGGCATATTTTTTCTGCGTAAAAACTTATTTTGAAAACGTTTCACTTATTTATAAGACAAACAAAAGCTCGAACTTTCAAAATGATATGAGCGAGAAGATTTCATTTCTAATCAAATACATAGTTCCCTATTCCAGATTATTATAACACTGGAGATTTTCAGTAAAAATGAAAATGAAAATAATAGTTCTAAAAACGTACAAATAGGTCTCTTGGAGAATGTAAACATGACTATTAGCAACTTTTTCAATAATCGTAATTAAATGCTTGTCGACAAGCATGCGAAAGTCGAATTTTTCAAGCGCTTACGAGTGCGTAAGGCGGTATGAACGTGGAAGTTGTCATAAAACGAATGTGTTATGTGTATATGACAAAGACTCATGAAAATAATAGTTGTAGACTTGTACACACTTGCAGTATAGACCTTTCAGTGTTTACATAAACATTGCTTACCATACGCATTTGAACATTCAAAATGTTGTGTTTTTTGACAGTGTAAACGCGTTTTCTGAAATTCTTCTTTAGTTGTGTGATCTCAATTTGACAACAGAAATCTCTGTGCAAATTTCATCTCATCTGATTAGCTTCTGCAGATAAAATTAGATATTATACTTTCATCACTGCTTCTTATGAAGGATAGATTCCATTAATTGGTATTGCTAGTGAATTACTTTTCCATATTTTTTTAATATTGTATAAAAAAATGAAAATTAATTTAATTTAAAGTTAAGAGTTAAGTAAAAATAAAAGAAATTCAATGATAAATTAATATACAATTCAATAAATACCGGGTGTCTGGCAATGATTGCCACATGTCTTATTTGGCATGTATTTCTACTTAGGAAAATGATAAAATCGTGAAATCCTTTAAAAAGATGTGCCGTGGAAAGTTCTACAACACTATATTAACAAATCTCTCTTGATGAGGGTGTGACTATTGGTGGGTGTGGATGTGAGTGTGAGTCAAGAAACGACTTATATCCATGCCCAGAATCACACCCCCACCTTTGATCCTTGCCATAAGTCCAGTCTCCAGTTCTAAACTGGACTGGTGCATCCATAGATGTATCTGGTCCGAGTTAATGCCGTCGTAAGATACAGTTTTTGACTAGAAATTGGCCTCTGGACGTGTTTAGTCTTTGACCGCTTTTGAACATAAAGCACAAGCAATACTAGTGTTTTTATATATGAACTGTTACAAAATACTTGTCTCTATCCGACACACATGGAACGAAATTGATAAGAGAATCCAACCGTATCATTTGATGATGAATAGCTCGATGAACACACATCCAATGTGCATTGTCAAGGAATTTCAGTCTTATTTCAATGGCATTAGAATACTCATATATACATGCGTTATATATGGTTCGATAGAAAATTTCAAGGATTACAACTCTTCTATGGACCATATTTTCTAACTTTATTGTCTTGAAGAGACAGAAGCTATTTTCCTCGACTACCTTACCAGGGTCCAACCATGAGCACCATAAGGACAATCATGCTCGGCTAGATAAAGTCTTTCGACTTTGGATTTGTATATCGTAAACGAAAGGTCTAGCCGATTATACTCAAATTCAAAATCTTAGGCCTTATGGTTTTGCTGGTGAGAAATGTGGGCCAAAATCAAGGGGGAAATAGCGAACTTTTGAACTTGAAGTTATTTTGAGTTACTTTCAGCTACTTGAAGTTACTTAAACTACTTGAAGTAGTTTACTTTGACGTACTTTGATCTACTTTACAACTTCAAGTTCGTTGTTTCTCCCTTGACACAAATACTGAGTTTAGAACCAGTTCATCTAGCAAAAAGGCAGACAAACAATTGTTGTATTCAGTATTCTGTCTATATCCCGGATAGAGTTCGACCTTTCTAGTTCGGGTTAGTCTCAATCGTTAGGGCATCTTCTAGAATACAAGATAATTCTACATGATCGATCAACACTCTCAGTGAAGAATTGTCACAGACTGAGACATCACTATTATGCACCAATATGTGTAGTTAGTTAGTATCTCTAGATTTCATTGAACTGTACGAAAAAAAGAAATTGGAATCTTTGTTCGAACAGTTACCTGTCTACATAAGTTGAAAAGCTAATATTTGACATATAGATTATATTTCCATTGAAAAATCTTTATGTTACAAAGATGAATATATTGTCGATTCACATTCATCTTGTTTAGAATGAAACACTGAAGACAAATCAGAAGAGCGTGACGTTATTTATTGATGTGACACTACTTGATATGACTTACATAAAGTCTTTCTTTGCTGTTGTTAAATACCAGAAGATCTATTGATCTTATTTGTGATGTCTAAATTAAAAGTTGGTATATCAACATGGAGAGGTGATTTGGGGAGAATATCACCTCGATCATTAGTTATGTTGTTACCAAAAAAGAACTTCTTGTGCTTTTTGTATAAGAGATGTTGCTGGCTTTAGAGTTTAGCGCAATGATGTTTGGCATGGTATTTGTGTTGTAGACCAAAAATGTGCTCGATAAGTATATCGATAATTTCATAGTCCTTGAAACGATGAAGACAATGATTGTGAAGGTGATGATGGCAATTGTCGAGGTACACTTTGAAATGTCATCTGAATTGCAATATTCAGTTTACAAACTGTTGATTCTAAGAAATCAATTGTCTGTGCTGTAGAATAGGCCAACGAGTTTGATTCTATCTGTTGGTTTGATAGAGTAACAGTTATTCAATCAAAATGATTGTTAATGCAAGACTGATACCTCAAGTGACACTGGTCGAAATAGAGACATATAGTTGAATGCTGTTATTACATTTTTAATATTCATTATTAGAGATGATGATGAAATGATTTTAGTCCGCTTTTATATAGACAATAGAAAATATGAATGTGTGCTACTTCCTCATTTCTAAAACAATGTTGCCGTTGTCTAGGCTTCGATAATTGTTTTTGATAAAAACCAATTATGAATTTTGTTCAGTCAGGTTTTCATCCATCACCTCTAAGA